ATATTGTGCTTGTTATTATTTTTTATTTGATAGAAATTCAAAGAGCAACTAACAACTGAATGCAAACAGCCAGCTGAAAAAGTGAGAGGACAAATCAAAAGACTGCCTAGAACCGACCCCAATAAGGGTAATGCTAAAGAACACTAAAAAACACAAAAAAAAAATGCATATTATATTTTTAATTTTGCCTTTTCTCCTTAAATTAATCAATATAATTTAAAAATAAAAATGTGTTATTTCTAAATTTCTCCTTAAATTAATCAAGATAATTTAAAAATAAAATTTAGTTATTTCTAAAACATTACAAACAAAAAAAAACTATTCACACATTAACATACTTGTAACTAATGATTATTATAAATCTATATTTAACTATTTATTTAATTTTTAGTTTATGTTTTCTACAATCTAAAAAATATTTAGTTTTATATATATTGTATATTTATATACAATCTAAAAGATATTCAATTATTCAAATATCATTTTCATCTTTTCGTCCAACAATTTTTTTTTTTTTTTGGGATAAAATCTAATTCCAGTCACCCCCACAAGAAATGAATGGAAATTCGACGAGATATTATATACTTGTTTGTTCACTAGAAAATTCGATTAGAGTCATATTATTTTAATTACAATATTCAGTACACAATAATCAAATTGACTGCCATCAGGTGTCTTAATTATCAACTCAAATAAACACAACTCAAGTAAATTTTCAAATGCAAGAAAAGCCTTTGGCCAAAAAGCTCAACTCCAGGGCAGTCTTATATCAAACAATCACCAGTAAAGCACAAATAGATCAAAACAAGTTGGCCCCAAGGTCACATGAACACTACAAGAATCGCCTTAAAAACCATTTAAAACCAAAAACCCACTGATTTTAAAAACCAATGTTTCGTTAAACTGTTCTCACGACTATTTGTTGTGTGGATCAACACTTGTCCGAATAATTGGTTAAAACGAAAAACCCTATTGTTTCCTTCCCCTTCCTTTCTTGGCTGGTTGTGCATCTATTTGTTCTTTCCCACCAACTTCAGATATATCGGCTGTGGAAAAAGATTATACAATTTATACAATTCCTTGTTAGCATAACATGAATATACGATGAACTTTTACAAAAACGAGAAAGGGAAAAGTAAAAGCATCCCAATATCTACTAAAGGAAGCTGAAGTAGTAAAGCAGACTAATATATAGATTATAGATCAACAAGTATTATAGCAAAAGTGTGGCTCAGCTCACCAGAACTAGAAATCATATAGGAGAAAAGGCAATAAATATATACAACTCATGGTTATGCATTCGAATTTTCAGTTGTAAATTAAATATAATGTGTCAAGTGTCGACTGGAGAAAATGAAGATGCTTTTACTTAAAATAGTCATCAATCTTAGCTGTCACAACAAGAATACGATTGGTAGCATTCTCGGGATTGAATCTTGGGAGGAAAACAAATATTATGCAATAAGAGAATTGGAAACGAAAAAAAAAAAGGTTAATTGCTACATAGCCTACTCAGTATCAATATCCACTACTAGTTTTAGCATCAACTCTTCTACATCAAGTGAGGCTCTGGAATCCAATTGATCGTACCACTGCATGACGTGTGGCAAAATCACTGATGGTGCATTTTCCAAAAACACTTTGCATAGTGTAATTTCTCATTTACCTAGTAATGGAAGCTCTTGGGTCAGAGAATTAGTATTATAGCTGAAAGGTCCATTCAAACCAAAATCTGTTCACATATCTTGACCAATTTCAGAAAGCAACTGACTACTTGGAACTTGTCAAATAATGAATGAATTCACATTCCATAAACTCCAGATACAGGCGAACAGTATAAGAGACCTTACGACCTTCCCCAGGCACAACAGAAAAATGGTTCAAGGAGGGAATAGTGTTTTTCAACATAAGTCAAACCAAACTGAAGGAGAGATTTTTAAAATTTTATGGATAAGCATATGTCGAACTTGTCAAACACATTTCTGTTTGATTTTAACATCGCACGAAATCACAATCGCTGTAAAGTTCAAACATCTTATCATTCCCTTCTCGGCTTCTCCTCAAATAATAATAAATTCCACGAACAAGAAATGTGACCTTAAAAACCCATAACTAAAGCTATTTAGAAACCTAACTCTCCCTGTGTTGAGTGGGCACTGGAACACTGAGACGCACATGCAGATGAAATGAAAATTGAAAATAATACCTTCAGGTCCACGAGCCATCAGAGTAAAGAAGATGTTATTGAACTTCTCCATCTTTTTCGCATCCTGAGCCTGGTCGGTCTTAAATTTGATACACTGAAAAGAAAATAAGAAAATCTAAGATAGTGAATATAGCTCACAACTTCACGACTTTCCCATATTGAAAATATATATCTTTTTCTTCCATTGCAGCAAACTTTGAAAGATGGAATCCAACCAACAAACTTTTCTAGTACGAATGAAACAACAAATGAACAGCCAGCACATGCTACATTAAGGACAGAAGGCCCAATTACATTGAAAACCTAAATTCTACTTTCGACTGGAGATATATATTGCATTCCCGAATATACAGTTCTAAATCTAACTAATACTTCAAAAAGGCTAAGTAAATCCTTTTAACCATGAAAAAGAAGATTAATCCAATAACTATGTGCCTGCATTAGTAACTCAATCTCCACCCAATCCTTGGTTAGAAGAGCAGATTAAGCCAATAACTATGTGCCTGCATTAGTAACTCCATCTCCACCCAATCCTATTGACTAGACGCATTATTCAGTGCAACCTCAGCTGATAAGAATAATGTAAGGCTAAACATTTCGTCAATCAATATGCTATATATGAATAATTCTATCAATTAGATTGAATAAAATTTAGAAGTTAGGATAATATCGCAAATGATCAATTTTGTTTTGTATCTCGAGACTGAATTATATGCTGGGTGGCTTATCGATGATAACGGCCATACAAATGACAAACAAAATCATCCTAACAGTTTCAACATTCATTCGATAATGCCAATTTTTTTTTATTGCTTTGCTAGAACTACACTTCATTCACTAGGGATTGACTGCATTTGAGTCATTTACATGGTCTGAGGCATATCAATCTACTCTATCAAAAGGTGGGATGCTCACATATTATTCAAAAAAGTAAACCAAAAAAAAAAAAAAAAAAAACAAATAAACATATGCCAATAAGAACAATTCCCAGCATATCGGATAACAACAGGGTCTAAACCAACAAAGCAGGCATCATCAATAGCTGAAATTCAAACGAATCTAAAAGACAACGACCGATTATCATATCAGAAAACTGTACCTCTTTGTCATCGGTGACTTTCAGCACCAATTTGCCGTCGCAGTGCCTGTATTTCATGGAATAACGAGTCTACGCCGCACAAACAAGACGATACCGATCAGAATCACAAGCACGTGAGATAAGGTATCATCAGAAACAGATAAAACATGGAGCAATTGAGATTTTTTTACCTTTTCTGGATCGGAACGAAACAGCTGGACGGACTTCTCGACGAAATCGTCCCAAGATTCAATGTAGACCATGATTTCCAAGTTCGGTTTCACTGCGCGTTGATTGATACAAAGTCTGTGACTGCTGTGCTGCTCGGAGATGAAGCAGAGGGCGTTTGCCGAGCTCTGTTCTTTGTTCTGCCGTTTTCTTTTTTCTTTCTTTGATTGCTATTTACCGCCCCTATTACTAGTCACCGCCCCCCAATTACGAAAATACTCTTTACTATATTTTTGAATTCTCTCTCTCTAAACTCTCTATCTCTCTAAAACCGTA